AAAAAATTATATGTTCAGTTGCAAAAAATTCAAGGTAACCTTGAAAAAACCTTAAAAAAAAAGAGTTGACCAGTAATTTGTCACTATCACGTTAAAGCTCTCTTGAAACCATGCAAAAGCTGATAAAAACATTTTCGATCGGACTGCTAATAACAAAGTAATCTCTACTGATCACGATCCGTGGTCCACCCTGTATATACATACATACATACATACATACAGTCTAAAGATTTTTCGGTGTAAATCAATTCTAATCTCATTATCAACTTTTTCAGTAAGATGGAAATTCCATCAACCAGTAAAGCCCATTGATCAACATATTTTTTGGAAAATATTAGTTTAAGTATAGGGAGAAGATAATTCCACTCGTGAGCTTTTCAATGTTGTCTATTTCTCATAGGTCTTGTTGTTCTTGATACTTTCATTGTTGGAAAAAATGGCAGCAGCATATACACATAAGATTGCCGAAATAGAAGGGTTTGTTATGATTTTTTCAATCAAACCACAAGTTTGCAAATTGGCGACAAACATCCAGTGCAACACAATGCATCCAATCTACGTCTAAGCCATTTATAATGTCAAAATTTGCCATGTCACATAAAATAGATCTATTCTTAATTCCCATTTTCTCCCCAGGTTCAAAGTTTTTTCACGCGTTCTTAATCATTTTCCAAACGCTTTGCCATTAACTATGGGATGTACTCGGCCGAATCCCTTGCCTTTTGGTACATGCTGGGCAGGATGAAGCCATAAACCGCATCAATACTTGCCATTAAATTGTCTTGAGCAGCTTACCTGTGGTCGAGAGACAGAATCACATATATCCATCAGAATCACTACTTTTTAAATATATTTTAGGTCTTTAAATATATATTAAAATCCATCATGATATAATTTATTTTACTTCATTTATAAATGGTGTTAAATAGCTGTTCATACTTCCTGGTTTGCCTCTGGCAAATCAAATACTGCAAAATAATAAGAACATTACACGGACGTTCTACGGGACTTGATTCATTAATGGTACATAAGATGCGGTATGCAGAATTATTTGAGCTACCAAATATTGGCGCACTGTCTGAAATTAAAGGGAATTGTGTCCCGGTTACCCATTAATCTGTTTTTGTAAATTTTTCCGTCGTATACAGTAACGACCAATTGAAGTGGAACACGGGAACTTTTGTGTATTTATGCTAAACTTTGACCGATCTCGAAAAAGCAAAGATATATTTTCACAGGAAATTTCCTCTCCTGTGGTAAAGGTTTTATTTCGATCGGATATAAAATTGCCGAACGGCAGGAATTGGAATGAGACAGTGCATTTTGGGGCTTACGTGAAAAGTGCGAAAACTGGTCGTTTCATTTTTCCAAAAACTACGAAAAAGCACTTTTTTTTTCATCGTTTTTTGCAAAAAAAAATAGTTACCCTAAAAATTTCGAAATTCGTACAATATGCGCTATAGCAATAGTCATAAAGAACATGTGGTCAAATATTAGTAAGGATCGGTTGAATAGTTTCAGAGATTTTATCAACAAGCCGTCCAAAAACGTCATTTCGAGAAAAACGCGTTTAGAGTTTTCTTTAACGAAAAATCGTGAAAAAATCTTACTTACGTCTAATCAGCGATGCCTGCACCATACACTATGTCTTCAGTTTCGTCATAGCTCTCACTTACTCCCAAAATGTAGTACGGATAGAATATTTACAAAAGGCAGCAGCTCCTCATGTATACAAAGGCAGGTAAGGTAGGTAGTACCGCTCCGAGCG